GCTCTTCAAAGTATTTGCTTGTTCATAGAGAAATTTCATTCCTCTGTGAGGTTCATTTTACAAAGTTTCTTTATTGGAGGATTGATCATGTTCATTCTCGACTCAAATTTATTTTATCTTAATCAATTATTTATTATTTGCCAAGTAGCAACCCCATAGCCCTTAACGGCGGCTCTTTTTCAAGTGCTTTTCTTTATTACCTTGTTTGGTTACACATTTTAATGTATTGGAACAGTTGCGCCGTAAAAAAAGGACTTTATACGTCATTACTTTATTTCTAAAAACTTTTGTTTGAATCTTTTTTTCTTTGTCCTTCCATTTCGATTATTTAATACGTTAACACTGTATTTTATAAACAATATTCGTGCATTATAAGTAACCATCCTGCCAAATATGATCAAAAAAAGTATTCTTATCTAGAATATTCGGCGATGAAACTGCATTCTGCTGACTCTAGTGCACACTCAGGAATATGAAGTCATAAACCTTAGAAACATTTATTTTATTTCTCAATTTAAGACGTATTCTAAAGGTGAGACTGGTTCAACGTCTGTTACTTGGCACGTCCCAACAGGGCGTAAGTATAATTTTTTCTTCGATATTTCACATCACTTCAAGGAATGTTTTTTCCTGCGAATGAGAAGATTTAGTGATATTTTTTTAATTTTATTTTTTGTAAAACTTAGTATATTAACACTAGTTTGGGGAACATTTGAGTTGCCGTTAATTTTTAATAAAAAATATAAATTCAGCAACATTTCAAACGCCGCAGAAAACCCGCCAAATATGACGTCAGTAGCTACAACTAGCAACAGTATACTGCAAATAAGTACATTGTCAGATTGTCGTTGCCATTGTTAATTTCCAAGATTGCCTTTAGAAACCCGGTTTTCATCCTTGTGTATATAATGTTTTTCTTGTTGTATTTTTTGGATTTCAGTTATAAAATTAATGTAATTTTTTAATGGTTAGGGTTAGTACGTTCAGTTGTACAACAAGAGTTTTTGTAGTGTTGAGAAAGGATCTATGCATAGACATGATTTTAAATTTAAGAAATCACAACAGTCAGTTTGGCAACGTCGCATTTTCTTATGTCTGCTGATAAATATTAGGTCTATTTCTGCAGAAACCACAAACCAGTCAGCGCGAATTTCATTGGTTGAAAACAGTCAGAAAACTAGTTTCAACCAATCAAATTCACTCTGACTGGCTTGTAATTTCTGCAGAAACAGACCTATCATAACCTCTAATTTCCACTTACGCGATTCGAATCAGCTGATAATTCAAGATGGCGACGTGGGCAGAAATGTATGTGTGTTATTTCTACCGGTTCCAGAGTTTAATTTGATGATTTTTAATTTATTTCAATTTCCTTTAATGGTTCGTGGTTAAAACCAAGTTACTTGGAATATTTATGGCCGTTTTCACCGACTATTTTAGGGAAGCCTTAACGATAAGTATTCCTTAAAATGACAGTTTTCCATGGAGAAATGTCAGTTTAAGGAATACTTATCGTTGAGGATTCCCTAAAATCGTTGGTGGAAACGGCCATTACTCGAATATTTATCTACCAATAAAATACCTGGGCAACAGGTACAAAACGGACCCCAAGTAGGTGAAAAGACCTAGATATAAGTGCTACATACATACTGTGATGGCAAAAACTCACCAAATACTGTAGTTCACTTTAAATACATAAACGGCATCTTCAAACATGCCTTGCCAACCTCGACAATCATGACAAATATAAAGTGGCTCAAAGGCAAATGAATGAATAAAACATAAATTACATAAACCACAGCAACGCCAAAAATTAAAAAAAATTGCAAAAAAACGTTCTCAAACTGATCAAAACAGTTTAGAAATTCACAAAAAATACACAGCCTCCTATGGACGTCAAGTTTGTTATGCCCACTTCACAGTGGGGGGAAATTTGTTACACACAGGCCTTATGAGGATAGGCCATCCTATAGTAGTAGTGTGTATCATCTTTGATGTTGACCATCGTGTTAAACGAGCAAGGTGTAAATAACGAATGAGGAATTTCATCATTGTCACTCTTCAGTGCATAGACAAGAAAGCGTCAAGGATGTGCGTAAGAGCCATTGTGAACGATTCTTATTGGTCGGTTGGGATTGTCTACGTCATACAATGGCGCCATTCCAGTACGTTTGAATATGTGGCATAAAAACAGCATTTTTAAAAATTGTTTATCAAAAAAATAGGACATTTCAATGCCAACTGGAAGCAAGGGTATTTTTATTTTGGTCCATACAACTGATTAAAAATAATAAAGCAATGAAATTTGAAGACAAATCCCAGACAATGTTGCTCTATTCGCAAATTGTTCATAGAGGATCAATTGGCAAGAATTGATTTCCATCACCCAGCAGAAGGGCAATGTGGTACGGATAAATAGGATCGAAGAGAAAAATACTACTAACAGGAATATTGAGATCAGGTCTAATAATTGACAGGTTTACTTTCAGCGCTAGAACTTCGCGAAACTGTGATCAGAATTTGTTTAACGTTTCAGCTTGTTTCTATCTTTCTTAGTCATGTTACTTGTCTAGATAAGGGTATAAAAAGACTTACTGAAGAACGTAAACATGGATTTATAAACGAAAATTTTGCGTTGCAGTCGCCAAAATAATCAAAAAACTATTAGAAGGCAATTATCTATCGAAATAAACATTAGGTACCAACCAACTACATCAGAAAAGTAAATAAACAAAATGCCTCATAATGGCAATGGGCAATTTTTGCGCATGCCCCACGAACATAAACCACAATAAGAGCAACGCGAAATTTAAGTTTATAAATGCACTTTTTCCATTTAGGAAGGCTGTTGTGATTGTGGTTTGTTGATGTGATGTGTTTTATTTTGTTAGTCGGCTTTTCCTGGTCTTTTGACTACTTGCATCATTCCGTACTTCTGGATAAACAGTAACACTGGGAACTCTTCAAATAAAAACAAAAAGAAAAGGTAACAGAAAAAAAACACATCTGGAGAACTGTAGACATATTTGTTTCAGATGATTTCTTTAGGGATATCCAAACAGTCGTACTGAAACCCTTACTGTATTCAATTTATGCAAAAGATCTGACTAGGGTATCTATCATTGAATCAAGTCCAGGATTTCTGCCAGGCAGATGATACCAATATTCTAATGAAGGGCATGTTTTGAAGAGCTTTCAGAAAGACAGCTCAGAATTGAAATAAAACAGCCTCACCTGTTTTAGAAAATTGATGACTTTCTGAATCATGAGACGTTGTTTCAACTTGTTTTAATGTTGTTAGTATTGATATGACAGTCTCAATATCTTCTATTTTTTATTGTTTAGTCTTGAAACTGTTGATGGAATGTGCTAGCACTTTGATTTGGCTTTTTTTCAACCAGCCTGGCGAGCAAAGATTTCGAAAATGCCGCAAATACTGTTATACTCTGGTGTTCTATGGTAGGTTTTTTAATTCCTCAATGAGAACTACTTATTATTTATTCATATACATATTTCACTTCGACTCAGCAACAAATTTGCGAACTTTGCAACTTTTTCCTGGCCTAGAAAGCAGAAATAATAAATTCTGCGACTCACCATTTTCAGGAAACAATTTTTATATAATTTCTTGGCCCCTTTACCGGATATCTAAAATCTTAATTCAAAAACTATATTAACATGTAGGGTAGCTCATTTTCACTAATCAAAAATAAGTGAACTGCATAGCTACAGGTCACTTAAATACCTTCGATTTTAGATGTGTTGTTGGTCACGACTTATAAATAAATATATTTTAAGATGATTAATGAAAAAATAATAATATGAATCCTTGAATTTTTGCCGACTTATGATTTTCTATTTTCGTCTTTTCATTCCATTGCGTAGTGGCGGTTAGTTTATTCATTTCTTCCATAAATGATGTTATTATCACAGCAGGCATTAGTAGCGACAGCGATATAAAGCTGATAAAAATAAATAATAATATGTGTCAAAGTTCGAGGAAAGGATAAGAGGTACTGACTTATAATATTTTTGCTTGCACTCATTTTATTAGTTTCAAAAAATGTTGTTGCAAATCCACCAACTTTAGTAAATATACAATATCTAGGAAAAATCTAGAAATTAAATTGAATAGGAAATGGAAAAATGCGAAGTATATGCGGCATTGCAACCCGCGACAAAAATTTCCTATTCACTTTGATTTCTACAAGATTATTGTCCGTAGCTTACCTTTCAAAAACGCGTTATCTATTTTTACATCTTGAAGAGGAAAATGGGAATAAGTAGATATTTTTTATGTATGGCCTAATTCAGCAATACTATAGGAAATATTTGAAAATTCTAAATAATATTATCTAAAAGACGTTCAAACTTATCTGGTAAAGTATTTTTACAAGTTCTCTGGTCATGACGTCTAAGATTTTTGAGTGACAAGCTTGTCTGTTGATATTTCAAAGTTGGTATTTTATTGGGTTCTGCAGACTGCTATACTATATAAAGCCTATATACTTATACAATCCCTTCCCTTGAAATTGGAAAATATATATATTTTTTGTATTAGAATAGAGAAACGTGATTTGGCTTGCTTGGAGAAAAACATCGTTTCCGCCTCCATAAAGTAATTTTCAACGTAATTTTACCTAATTTTTCAGCTATTTGTCAACGATATCAACTAGTTAAAATTTCCCAAAATCAGGCAAATTTGTTTTTTCAGGTTTTCATCAATTGGATTAAATATATCTAAAAAGTAAAATCAATCGAGATTTAGAAATAGTTGGCTCATACAACTGGAAAAAGCTTCTTTTAACGAGATTTTTATGCTTTGAGGGATATTTTTGATTGATCATTTTACTGAAAAGCAGTTTTCTTTATAAAATAAACCAAAAATGACTCCACTAGATTTTGATTCACAGCTTACAATAATTTAATTTTGTATTAAATAACGTGAGTGCATTACTCGCAGTCAGGTTTAATAAAGTATTTTTCTTTTTTTTTTCCAGATGTCAGCAGGATCTCACATACAGATGGCTCCGCAATCGACAGTCAATACTCCCCAACCCATCCATAACCAGGACTCCAACATGAGTACAGGTAAATACACCAATCTACCCTTACATTTTTGGTAAAAACGAACAGTGGGGGGAGAATTAGAGTTTCCTCAATACAGAAAACGAAATTTTAGTAAAACTTTGAGTTATTCCTCAGTTGGATCTAAATATTTCCTGGATTAGTAAAAATTTCCATGGTTTTAAGTGTGTTAGTAGGTATGTAAAGAAAAACCAGTCAGCTCGTGCCGATTTTCCATAGCAACTTTTTGCAGTTGACTTGTTATCTTCTGAAAGGTTTTGTTTTAAATGCCATCATTTATTTCGCACAAATGTCGAGAAAGGACGCCGCAATATTTAAACGGAAATTGGTTACCCGTGATATTTGGATGAAATTTAAATATGTTATTAAAAATGCTGTAAGCAACATTTTTTACTATGGGCGTAACCTTGTATATATGACAGATGAGGCGGTATCAGCTGTTAAATATTGGAATCTAATATTCAAAAGCAGGGTAACTATGGCAGATTTTGATGGAGCAAAAAATATCGATTCCTAATAGGTCGACCAAGGAGAATCGAAAAATGTTAATCATTTTGATGTTTTTAATATTTCATGATGTGTCATTTGACAGTTTCAACCTATGTAAGTTCTGAGTTCAAAAATTGAAAAAAAATAAAATATACATTTATAAAATATAAAATTGAAATTTTCAAAAAAATTTCAGAAAAACTCAAGATAAATTCACATATTGCTTACTATCTTCTAAAACACTCATTTTCGCTTCCGAGAATTACATATCTTCTGCGCTGTGCTCCTTGCTGGAGAGTACCTGATACTCTGAAAAAATTTGATTTGATTTTAAAGTCTTCTTTAGAATCTATTACAAATTGCACTTCAAATGACAATGCTTGGGCCCTTTCTAGTTTACCAGTGAAGTTGGGGGGCTTAGGCATTCGAGATACTGCTTCGTTGTGTTTATCGGCTTTTTTGGCGTCTTTGACCAATGTTTCTCCTATATTACCTCGTATCCTTCCAAATCAAATTTTGTCTTCTACAGATTTGGCAAAGAATGAGGCAATTAATCAATTCAAAATAATCACAAATATTTCGGACTTTACTAAATTTAAATGTCATGTCATGATTTTGATTTCGAATTTTGTAAACTTTCAATTGCTAAAATCATTTCAAATTCTAATAGTGGTGTTGAAAAAGCTAGGATTATTGCTTTGCAGGAAGAGGAAAGTGGTGCTTGGCTGAATGCTTTACCCTCTTCGAATCTCGGTAATTTGTTAGATGACGCGACTTTCAAAATTTCAGTTGCTCTTCGCGTTGGTCAACCTGTGTGCATGCCACACATCTGCACTTGCAACAACCAAGTTGATAAATTTGGGCCTCATGCCCTGTGTTGCAAAAAAAGTGCAGGTCGGGTAACCCGTCACAGGTTGATCAATGATATAATAAAGCGCTCGTTAGCATCAGCAGATATTCCTTCCATACTAGAGCCACCTGGTATATGTAGAAGTGATGGCAAACGTGTGGATGGAATGTCTCTGTTGCCTTGGAAGAGTGGTAAAGCATTACTTTGGGATGCCACATGCCGAGATACTTTGTGTCAAACTTACGTATCACAGACATCGACTGGTGAAGCAGCAAGAATTGGTGAATCCCAAAAAATGCTCAAATATGAAGAACTGCAGGACCGAGGTTTTTTTTTGTTCCTTTTGCTGTGGAAACTTTCGGACCTTGGGGTAATGAAGCTAAAAGATTAATTAAATAAATTTGTCAGAAAATAAATCATAAAAAGGCATTTAGCTTCATTACCCAAAAAATTAGTCTAGCAGTACAAAGGGGAAATGCAGCGTCAGTGCTTGGGACCCTTCCAGTAGGATCTGGTTTGGAGGAAATTATTTATATTTGATGTTTTGTTTTTATATTTTATATTTTATATTTTGTTATTTTATATTTAGTATTTTTCTTTTTTTATAGTTGTATTGCATCTTGTATAATAATTAAAGGAAAACTAAAGAATAAATATACAGAACTTTTAAAACCTGTCATTTGTTTTAGTAAAAAAAAGATTCCAATTTGGCTCTTTTTCGTTTGAAGGTAGTTTATTGGTGATAAAACATTAAACAAAGCTCATAGACATCAAATTTTGACAGCTGTCAAGAATCTGACATTGGCTTTAATTAAAAAAAAAAAACTGAACTCTAGTTCTGTTCCAATTATTTAAGTTATGCTTATTTATTATGAGGCATAAAAAAAAATTATACACAGGTTTCAGATTTTGACAGCTGTCAAAATTTGATGTCGATGAGCTTTGCTTGAAAACAAGAAAGAACCAGATGTAAATATTTTTTCCTACTAAAATAAATGACAGATTCTGACAGTTCTGTAATTTTTCTTCCAATTTTTAACTCAGAATTTACATAAGCTAAAACTGTCAAATGACACATCATGAAATATTGAAAACTGAAAAATATGAGTGCTGCCGTTTGGCAGGGTGTTGACAGATTTGAAAATGGTTGACATTTTTCAATTAACCTTGGTCGACTTAGTAGGAATCGATATTTGCTTCATCAAAATCTGCGATAATTACCCTGCTTTTGAATATTAAATTCCAATATTTGACAGCCGATACCGCCTCACCTGTCATATATACAAGGTTGCGCCTATGGTAAAAAATGTTGCTTATACGGCATTTCTAATAACATATTTAAATTTCATCCAAATATCACTGGTAACCAATTTCCGTTTAAATAATGCGGCGTCCTTTCAGGTTTTTTGCGTTTGATTATATTATAGAGTACCAACTCATTCTAAGCTACCTAATTATTATTATTATAAACTAATCAAAGCTACAACAAACGAACAAAAAATAATCCTGACTGGAAAAGAAGAAATCGTGGCTGCTATCGAATGTTTCTACAGATCCCTTTACATCAGGACCACAAAATTATGAGAAAATAGTCCAAAATATAGACTTTGAGGTTATTCCTGATAAAAACCAGGCAGCGATACGAAATGCCCTGAAATAATGTATTGAAATTGGAAAAGTTCAGGTGAAGATAGAATAACAAACGAAATGTTGAAAACTGGAGGAAAACAGTACATGAAAAATTTATTCAACTAATGTCTCAATGAAGAAAGAATTATTAGCACTTGGCAGAACTCAGAAGTTATTCTGCTTTTCAAAAAAGTCACCTGTACATATTATGAACCAAAAACTCGACCAAAACTATAACTATTAACTAGCTAATTAAAAAACAAATTCAAATTTTACCAACCAGTTGAGCAAGCGGGCTCTCGTAAAGGATTCAAGATTACCGATCATTTCCAACCTATACGTTGCCTCATTGAAAGTTGCACAGAGTATAATGTTCCCCTTGATCGTGCAAAAATCATTCGATTCCCTCGAAATATGGACGATTCTTCAGACTATGAATGACGCTAGGATCCAGGTATTCCAATCATATCAAGTAAATTTAGAAAAGAGCTCTCACCAGAGCTGACACCACTATCAATGAGATTCCAATCCAAAGAGGCGTCCGACAGTGGAAGACTTTCTCCACAAAACTTTTCACTTTATTTGAAAATATTTTTCAAAGACTGAAAGAAACAGTCCTATAGCTCCGAAACCTGGATCCTAACAAAAGCAGATGAGACGTTATTAGCAATATTTGGAAGAAAAATCCTGCGAAAAATATATGGTGTTGTGCAAGAGGATAACATCTGGAGACGTAGATATAATTTTGAACTTTATAACCCCTACAGAGGGTCAGGAAATGGGGACATAATAACAACGATCGAGATTGGCAGGACATGTCATACCGTGGCGTACCAACAAAGCGAATCTTTGAGGTCATACCAACAGGCACCAGAGGCAGAGGAAGACCAAAGCTCAGATGGAGGAACAGGGTTTCTGAGGACGCTTACTGAGAAATTCTTTCAAGAGATCAGGAAGGATGGCGGACGAGGCTGGAGAAATTTGAGGCCCCCTTTAGGGCTGTAGCACTAATGATGATGATAAAAACAGTAAACATTGATGAAACTGTATTAAATCACTTACGTTTTGCAGATGACATAGTACCTCTTCCTTAGTAGCGACCCTGCAGAATTACTCACAATGAAGAAAGAACTACAGAAAGCATTCATTAAAGTAGCTCTAACATAATTCTATCAAAAAGGAAAGTGATGAGAAACAATACTTCGACCGGGTCTGGAGATACTAAGGAGTATGACCCCAGAGCCACATCAAAAACTGGGTTCGAAAAACACACCAGCAATATTAGACAACAACTCCCAGGAAAAGTGTCATGCCCTACTAAAAGGGCAACCGAATAAAATGAACCTTAACCGTAGACGGTGCTAAAGAGAACCAGAAACTTCCAAACTCATCCTAGTCAACTATTATCTTCTGGATCGTAAAAGGCAACGTGCAACTAACCATAGACACAAAAAATACTCTTCGAGGACTTGTTTAACCTTATATAGAGCACAAAAGTACTAGAGTGGTTTTGATAAGTCGCCCAGATTCAATAATTAATACATCCAGTACTAGATGGGGGCTTAAGTTGGACAGGCTAGGAGATAAAAAAAATGGATCAATAACAGAGATGTAGTATCGTACTGACGAGATAATTAACGCTTTATTCAACAGCATTCTATGTATGAAGGATTCGTGAGGATACATAAAAAGCTCGATAAAAAATTCAATGCGCAAAGATGCAACCGGGGGGCCATTGAAAATAATGGAGTGAAATGCAAAGTTTAGGTGATTAGATTATAATAAAAAAGTATTTTGTTTGATTAAGGATGTGACGTTATGTGTTAAATGTTGCATGCCCTTTTTCGCGATTTGGACCACCATGCTAGAACAGAAACATTCCCAATGGTAAAATATTGAACAACGGAAACGAATCGAAACACAACAGTGACTTATATATTTATTATATGGATTATATGGATATATTATAGTTATTTGATGCGATAAGAAAAAAAACCTCTAAAACGATATGGGAGATGCAAATTCAATAAGATAG